CCCCAAAACCCCAAAACCCCAAAACCCCAAAACCCCAAAGTTTGATTTTTAATATTTTAGAATAAAATATTTATTTTTATTCTCAATTAAGTTAGTTTGGTTTTCTGTTATTTTGCTTGTTATCACTTTTGAACAAATCAATTCTGGGGCTATCGAAATCTAGCTGGCCGTAATCAAAATAATCTAATCTTTTAGCAGTCGTATTAGCATGCTTTTGTTAAATCATTTATTCCTAAACATCATCGTCAATTTGAATCAGTGTCATAATCTACTTAACATTCTGCAAAAGCACTTGTTAAGGAGTCTCTTTGCTTTATTTTTCTAATCTTTTCTTGCCTAGAAGATCTTTTGTTAATTCCTGCAATTCATCATCCTCATTATATTTCCCAGTAATCACCTTAATGATGTCAAAGGCAAGTTTACTCTCTATTTTGTTCCTAAACCTTATTTTGACTTTTTAATCTGAGATGTAATTTAAATTTTAATACTGCGGTATGATCTTACAAATGTCTTTAACAATTGTTTCATTACCTTCTCCCTCTGGATATTAGATCATCAAATCCGTTTTTTTATCCATGATCTTCATATCAACCAGGTCAAGGGAAATTTTCTTTACCAGAATCTGAATAAATTCTAAATTATCAACGACGAAAAGACTTGCTACTTTGTGAGTTGAGATATCAAAATTTATTTATTCAATTCTTTTCATCACTTCATTTGTAGTTTTGTCTAATTTTTTCCTCATTTGCATTACTTTCTCGGTTAATAAGTTTTATCTAGCTCTGGCTGATTACCCACATTTGTCATTGTTGTTTGATTCAATTTGAATTTCAAGTTTTATTAGTTGTTAATTTGTACTTTAAACTTCTTGAATATACCTTGGATGTGTGCTTACGTTTTCCAGCAACCATTGTAGCTTACCCTGGAGATCCTTTTCAGTCTATTCTAGCATCCTTATTTATATTATACTCTGCATATTATCCATGCAATTCTATGTGATCATTAGTAAGTCTTCCTCGTCTTGTTTCTAATCATAATTTTGTGTAAACTAGCCATTACTTATGTTTTTTGTGTGATTTTGCTATATTTGTAGGTTATTCTCCAATTATGTTAAATGCTTGTCAAGTTTCAACTGTTCGATGGGCTCACTTAATTCATATTTGTACTTTTTAGATGAACTTTAGTTATATTATTGAGAAATTAATGAATATGGCTCCTAAATAGTAGACTACTGTGAGTTAGCTCCAGTAAATAAAGACTTCAGAAAATTCATTTTATTAACTTTATTATGATATAACATTCTGTTGTAATTTGAAATATTCTGGCAAGTGGGGTTTTGGGGTTTTGGGGTTTTGGGGAGATCGGAAGAGCACACGTCTGA